CAAGTATAGATGTTAAAGCAAAACAGGAGAAAGACCAAGATTTGAAGCCAATAATTGATTTCTGCAAGCAAGTGTTCTGTGCCCTGCTTGGGAGAAGGTGTCTAGCTTAAGCCCTGTGACGAAGAAATATTGGGCACAATGGGACCAGTTGAAGCTTGAAGATGGTATTCTTGTCCGGAGATGGGAAACTACAGATGGGAAAGTGACGACCTGGCAAACAGTTATACCGAAAAATACGGGAAGTTGTGTTGCGTCAATCCCACGATAGTTTAACAGGAGGACATCTTGGAGTTAAGAAGACATTGAGTCACCTACGGCAGAGATTTTATTGGATATGTATCAGACAAGATGTGGAAGAATGGTGCAGGACCTGCAGTACATGTTGTGCTAAAAGGGGATCCAAGCATAAGGACGTGCCCCAATGAAGTTATACCAAGTTGGTGCACCAATGGAAAGAGTAGCCATTGACATTGCTGGTCTGTTGCCCCAAACTCGTGCTGGAAACAGGCACATTTGTGTGGTGATGGATTATTTCACCAAGTGGTCTGAAGCATATGCAAGCCAAATCAGGAAGCCACAACTGTAGCTTCGGCTATTAGTGATTTCTTCTTCAGGTTTGGTATGTCATACGAAATGCATTCGGATCAAGGATCATACGAAAGACCAGGACAACACCACTTCACCCACAGTCTGATGGGATGGTAGGAAAGTACAACTGGACACTGGGACAGGAATTGGCAAAGTTTTGTAATGGCCACCAAGATGACTGGGATGTCTTACTCTCTCCACTGTTGATGGCCCATAGAACAGCAGAACATGAATCCACTGGATACACTCCAGGAAAGGTGATGTTTGGTCGGGAACTTTGGTTGTCAGTGGACCTGATAACAGGACGCCCACCTTACGAAGAGTTGCCTGACAATGTGCCAGAGTTCGTGAAAGTGTTATCTGAAAGGTTGGATGATATTCATCATCAAGTGCGTTCAAACTTAAAAATGTCTACTGATTCCATGAAGCTATGTTATGATAAGAAATCTACTAAAGTCAGCTTTATACCAGGAGACAAGGTGTGGTTGTATAATCCAAGGAAGACCAAAGGGAAGTCTCCTAAGTTGTCTTCTCCATGGGAAGGCCCATATGACATTTGGATCGTCTCTCAGACGTGACTTTTCGAATAAAATGTGGTCGGCGAGGTAAGCCAAAGGTGTTGCATGCCAACAGGCTTTGGCATTATCATGGTCCAGGACATTTCAGTTGAAATGAAGTGAACAATAGAACAAATGATGCTGCTGAAGACGTGTCATCTGAAAAAGCCGCTGTTGGAGAAGAAACTCTACCCGGTTTTGAGAGGGAAAACAGTGAAGCCGTTAATGAAGTTACTACCACTGATGTGACTGTTACCGATAATCGGATATTTCCTGATGGAGCAGATGAACCCCACGTGAAGCAGAAGCCAATGAGATGGAGACGAGTATGGAAGAAGAAACGTCCTGTAAAACTAAGAGACTTTGTTGTATTTTAATTTTGTGTTTGTAAATTCTGTACATTTAATTAAGTTATTGCTAATTATTTATTGGTTAAATGTAAGTGACTATTGTTCCTGATAAACAATACTAAGGAAGGGGCAGTGTTACGACAGCGTTACGTGACACTGGTGACACGTGATGAATTTTCGAATGATCATGAATGATCGGGGAGGCCAGAGTGTATTCGAGACGCCCCCTTCTTTAGTATATAAGCCTGGCAGAGAAAGCCTGCGGGAATGAAGGAAGAAAGTTTCGGGTAATTAACGATTCTGTTTCGAGCTAGTGTTTTGCACTCGTAGAAAGCGAAGTTACCGAGATTGTGATTCGCTGTGATTTATAGTGTGTATTATAAAAGTTGTTAAGTTTAAAGTGACGAGAAACGTACTGACTGTGGAATTACTGTGTACTAAAAATGTGTATCGAGAAAAAATAAACTGGTTTAATCAAGAAAGGACTTGTATCGCTGAT